TACTACTACTTCTACTACTACGACTACTACTGCTACTACCACTATTAGTACTACTACTTCTACTATCACTACTGCTACTATCACTACTACTACTACTACTACTACTACTACTCCTCCTACTACTGCTACTACTACTGCTAATACTACTACTACTACTACTACTACTGCTGCTACTGCTACTGCTACTGCTACTGCTACTGCGACGACGACGACGAGCACTACGACCTCCACACCGCCACCTTCACCTATTTCTGTCAGGCTCCCCAGCCATCGCATTTCTGTCTGGTTGTTGCTTTCTCTCTCTGGTATTGCCGCAACCATGAGGACAGCGTCGTCTCATGCAACAACCACGGCCTGTGCTGCCTGTGCTGTGTCTATCCAGTCTTGCGGCTGTCGCTTTCCATCCGTACTGGCCTCATCATTTGATTTTGCCTGATTTCTTGCCGCGAACTAATGACGAGGAACTACTCGTTGTCATAATTCATGCTTTGATTTCCGATCACTCTGCCCGCATTTTTTGCAAGCTGCGGCGGGAAAACTCAAATGCTCACTGCAAGAACAGCTTGAATTCTTGCCCAAAGACAGCCTTGCGTGGCAATGGTCGGCGACACCAAAAACAGCAAAGCAGTGCAAGCGCTTGGAGAAATTAAATAACGAAAATTTTGACACAGGGGAGGCCGCAACGTAACCTTGAATGGCAAAACTCAATATTAACGGGCGAGTGCCTCTCCATGCCCATGTTCTGATTCCATGCTCGCAGCGTTGCCGTTTCGGCCTGCCGCAGCTCCTTCCGGCACAATGGCCAAATACAGGGATCATCTACGTTGGGGAGTTTTTTAGGTGGCTGGTGGAACAAGGTTTACGAAAGAAAAACCAGGAGCGAATCCCCCACGGACCTGCAAAACGCCTCCGAGCTATCTCTTTGGTTGATGTTGTAGAAATCGTAATAGCACTGGCAGCCGCAACAGTACCAGTAGCAGTAACAGTCGCGGTGGCCGTGGCAGTGGCAGCAGCAGTAGCGATGGCAAAAGTGGCAGCGGTACCATTGCAGTGGCAGTAGCGGCAGAAGCAGTACCATCAGCAGCATAGCGGTAGCAGTAGCAGTCGCAGTAGCAGTCGCAGTGCAGGCGCAGTCGCAGTCGCAGCAGCAGCAGCAGCAGCAGCAGCAGCAGCAGCAGCAGCCGCAGTAGCAGCAG